CAACATTGTGAAAACAGAGAACTTACATTCTAAACATGGCACCTTCGATTTTGACATATCCTGAATTAAACAGTAGCTTGACACAATTATTTCTGAAGTATGGAAAGCTACAACATCACTGCTAACATACATGTAGCTGGGTATATATTCTATACACTGAGCACCTCCCTCCCAAGGACAGGTTATCAGTGGAGTCTGAAATGTGACCTTCCACACTGGCAAGCAGACTGCCACCAGTTGGCGAGGAGCGGACTGGTATCAACAAGCAGCAAAAGAAAATTACTCTTCTCCATCACTACTCCCCTGCAGCATTCATTTTACTTATTAGAAGAGCAATCACTCTTTTCACCATTAGCACAAATGAAAGCATTAAAAAAAACCTCATCCTAATATGCCACCAGTTGCCAAGCTGCTGCTTTAAATAATGGGGAAATTGAAATGAGGAAATCCATGCAATTGTTAGACTGAATCCATGAATTGTTAGATCTGCTTGCATACTGTTCTATTTGCCCTACCTCTGAGCAGTCCAAACCACCAGGAACGAACAAACCCCGCACTGCTCCGGTATGCCCACACACCTCAGCATTAAGCATCTCAAACAACACCAGCAGGAGTCCAATTGGTTGTACACCCCTCTTCCTCTTTTCCTTTTGTTTTGGTTTGCAAATAAATCAACATTTTGTTTCTCACTTTCTTATTGTCCAGGCTTGAAAACCAAAGGCAGAACACTGCTGGCACGGTGCAGTTGCTCCCACTTGGTAAAGAATGCACTGCTGTACTGCTCAGTTCAGCCCTTCCAGAGCACTTCTTTACAAGGATACAGTTTTGCTCAGAAGTGATTGCTTCTTCCGAATCAATGAACACTGAGCTTTCTCTGCTGTCCTACAATCATTTTAATTGCTGCTTGATCTTAATGAAGTGTGGCTGGTATTAATAAACGGATCCCCTCGCGGCTTTAATACCCAACATCCAAACAATGTTCAACTGCATGAGCACCAGCAGTGCTTTCATGATTCAAAACGCCATCATCTCCTCCATCTCCAGCCCCTCCCCCTTAAGCCTCAAGACTGCAGACATCTGTTCTTCAATTGTCTGGTAATAAACATACTCTATAAAGCATATGTAAAATGATTATTACCCTGAAGAGCCAAGTGCCTTTCAAACGCCAGCTGAAACAAATAAACAACGGGAAAAAAACCCTCCACCAGACAAATGTTACAACAGACATCGCTCAGGCTGTTCCATATTCCACAACGTCAGGGCTTCAACCTTGGTCCCACGTGCATCCATCCTCCAACGGGAGACGTTCATCCGCACACCAATAACGCCAACGCTGCCACGATCCAAGCAGATGCTGGTTAGCAATGAAGGATGAAAAAAGCAACTGGACTTCCTGGGTAACTTTTATACTTTGACACCTCCCGCAACATGTAATTAAGGAAAATCAGATGTGCGGTTCTCTTCAATTTATAAACGCAATTAGTTTTCATATGTAGTTAGTAAAATCTATTCCCAGGAATCATCCGTGCTAGAATACCCACTTGTCTTGCAAAAACTCACTATTCATCTATTATGTGTATGGTGGTGTCATTAAATCCTGGTAATTAATCTGGGGCTTAGTGAGCCTCAACTGTCCTAGTGGAAATAAGGGACACACTTCCCAACCTGCGTGACAACTCATTTCCCAGTGCTGGCTCACTGCTCTAACTGGATTCAGGGAAAGGCAGACTTTGAAACCCACTTGTGTGTTATTTGCCCTTCGACTCTCCGTGGCTGTAAGAGTTTCTCTGAAAGAAGTTCCATTACTGGAGACATGGGGGCAACGTACAGCCCTTGGAGTGCCTGCTGACTCCTGCATTCTTCTGAAAGGTCTGAAGCCAAGCTCAGTTTCATCTTGCAAACAAAAAAGGATCCAAAAAAGGCTATTATAATAAAAAAAAACTTAACTCTGTGACTGTGCAACTCTGATGCAACAGAAAATGACACCTTTTCATATTAGTAGTACGAAAATGATGAATTCAAATTGATTAATATGAATGCTTTGGTTACAACTCTCCATCCAAACTTACTGCACTGTGCAGAATTATACTGCCCAGAGCCCCATCCAGTCTGGCCTTGAACACCTCCAGGGATGGACGGGGCATCCACAGCCTCTCTGGGCAGCCTGTTCCAGCACCTCACCACTCTCTCTGTAAAGAACTTCCCCTTGACATCCAATCTAAATCTTCTCTCCCTCAACTTCAAAGTTCTCCTTGTCCTTCTATTATCTACCCTTCCAAAGAGGTGGCTCTCTTTAGGTACTGGAAGGCTACAATGAGGTCACCCCGCAGCCTTCTCTTCTCCAGGCTGAACAAGCCCAGCTCCCTCAGGCTGTCTTCATAGGGGAGGTGCTCCAGCCCTACAGTCATCTTAGTGGCCCTCCTCTGGACCCTTTTCAACACTAGAAGCCCTTGAGCTCCTAACAAAATCAGCTAGGTTGTATGGTGTTAAAACTTCTCTGCCAACATACTTATGTGAACTCGACAGAAATAAGAAAAAAAGACTTTGAAATAAAATATTGATCTTTCTGAATTCAAAACAGATTCATTTCATGCCTATGACACTGATGGAAGCCGATTGAGAGTAGCCGTAAGAAGTCTTGAAAGCAAATGGAAAATAAAACAAGTGAGAACTTCATACCTCTGCAGCAATTACCTCCTGGAGACCTTGACACTTAACATGACAACATCAAGAAAAGGGTGACAAAGATTTAACCAACAAGCAATGGACAGAAATAATTGCACATGTCAATATTTTTGCAAATCCCTCCATACTCAGCATTTCCAAGTGACAAGCAGCACCTTACAGACAATTTTAACAGGAAGCAATGAGTAAGCCAGTTTGCTGGTAGGATAGTCACTGCTTTGACTCCCATCAGAATCACAGAATCAAAGAATGGCCTGGGTTGAAAAGGACCTCAAAGATCATCCAGTCTCAGTCCCTCTGCCACAGGCAGAGTCATCAACCACTAGACCAGGCTGCCCAGAGCCACGTCCAGCCTGGCCTTCAATACCTTCAGGACGAAGTATCCACAATCTCTCTGGGCAAGAAAGGAAGAGAATTCCACGAAGGGAATTATGAAAGAAAGAAATCCAGTGCTATGCTCATTCCAAATACGCTGCCAAAGTTGCAGATCACAAGTTAAAACTAAGACTGTAAGGACACCTGTAAAATATTTATTCTGTTGATGATTAAGGCAAGTAAAATCACATTTGTAAAGTTTCTACATTGTTGACCTGAACCCAAACTCACCCCATTCAACAGTGAGAAAAAGGTAAGCTGGGTCACGGAGCGTTATCTTTCGCTTCATTCCGTTGTTGATGCTCCACTCAAGAAGCTAAGATGTTGCAGATGGTTGGTGAAAAAAAAATATATTGCAGGCAGATAACTTAATGTTGATGTAACTATTTTTTATGAAGCACATTAATTCTGCTGCATATCTTGCAAGCTGGTATCGAAGGTGAAGTGTTTGTAAGAAGTGTTTTTTAAAGCGCTCGTGTTTGACTTGTATGGCAAAAAAAAACCAAACCAAAACAGAAAAAGAAATGAAGCAGGGAGAAAAATGGAAAGAAAGTATTTAACCAGTTTGTAAATCAATGTGGAACAACTCATCAATAAAAAGAAGAGCATTCCCACCCCACTCTGTGCTTGACAGAAGATTGCAAATTTGTTAGAAATGAAGAGACTGAAGTCTGTGTCCTAGTGGCTGTCTTGAACAGCTCATCCCATCAACCACTCCTTCTTTTCTCACAACAAAATAGCTGAAAAATAAACATTATGTTCCAGTAAAGTAATTTTTAGCACGTTTCCTTCAATTTAAAAGAGATTGGTTTTGATATAAACCGTGCTTATGAAATTATCATTATAGGCATCTTGCAATAAATAGAGAGCACGCCGATTTCCTTTCGTAAAGGAAAGATCTGAAACAGCCAACAAACTGTAATATGTCCTCAAAACTGGTGCTGTTCTAAAGATTACTCCAATATCTGATGTCATGGCATCAGAAATATGCATTTGGAGGGATTAATGTACTTTCCCCCCACATTTTTACGTCCCAAGAAGTAACAACAGCTAAGTTCTCAGCTACCAAGATGACATTCAGAATACTCTTGCTCTCAGGATCAGATTCCACTTTTTTATCTTTATTACTATTTTATTATTGCTTGGCTTTAGTGCTGAAGAACGCCCTGTTGCTTAAGTGAATCATGACAGTGAGTAATACAAACAGCAAAGGAGGGAAATGCACTTTGAAGGTGCAAGCAGTGAATAGGGAAGGATGTGTGTGACATGCAAGGAACAAGCAGAGGTGAAAGACTGACATCAACTGAGAGAAATTTAATATTATTTAACTCTGGCAAAAGTAAGAAAATGTACTGTTAAATTGCAAAGTTAAAAAGAGCAAAATTAAAGCATCAGAAGTGAATGACTTGGTGAGAGGAGACTTATTACAGACTTGCTTGAAGTCCCAGCCATCCTTGATAAGCTCTGAATTTCTATGATCTTAGCAACTGGCACAGCTCTTTACATCACACATTTAATTTCAGTCCATAGAGCACACTTGTTTATCAAGGAACGAACTTACCTTGCAGTTCATAAAGTATCCTTCTGACTTTTTAAGCATAATAGCGAGCGATAAACAATTTGTGACAGGCTGAAACTAAAAACTTCCCAGCTTGGGTCAATAATAAATGACACTGTTCAATGGAAAGGGGTCACCTAGGCAAGCATTTCCACCTGAAGTGTTAGTTAATCTTGACAATGATGAAACAAGCATTGGCAACACACCCAACTGGTGTTTACTTTTTACACGTGTGCACAAAAACTTCTCCACAAGCCACAGATACACACACGGTGCTGGGGAGTGTTATCTCAGAAGTCACAACATGCCCATAAATAAAATGGGTTAATTCTACTTATCCTAATTATTTTCATAGCAGAACTACGTGGAAAGCTTCACTTACCTGAGGAGTGGGTGAAAGATGATGGTGATGTTTCTGGCTCCTGGTTTGCAGACAAACTTGGATCCTCCACCTTCGATTAAATTATCATCTGGTCCTCCTGGAAAACAATACAGAAGTTGTTCGACAGAATCTGAACATCCCTTGATTTTCAGATAGTAACTGATAATTAGAGATTTAGCTTTGTCTGTAAGTGTCATTACACTTAACACTAGTCTCAAGAGTCCATTTGGGGCTCTTCAGAGTCCATTTCCTACACTGAGCTTTGTAATTCCCCAGCAGAAGTCTCCATTGCCCAAACAAAAGTTGCATACAAACGGGCTCTCGTCTATGGGAAAAACAGATATATTGAGCTTGGTATGCTTTTGGGAAGTAAGATAAGCTCAGAGAGTAATTTATACACATTGAGCACAGACTGCGGGGTTTCAAGTGGCATGAAGCACCCATCTCCATGTCACTGCAGCTGAAGCAAAGCCACTTCCACCAGCAGCTCCTAACAGCGAGATACATTAAATCAGGATATTGAAATAGGAAAAAGGAGGAAGACAAATACTTAGCCTACATCTCCTAGAACCCTTGCATTTCCTGAGTGCAACAAAGACCACTCCTTACTCTTACAGAAGAACACACTTTAAAAGAACAGGGCAGATGCCTCTCACATTAGCATAAAAAAAATTACATGATCCTGAAATTAGCAGAAATTCATCACATAATGCCCCTGAGCTTTGGTCAAACTCTCTCATCACAAAGCTCAGACAATCTTCTTGCCTATATCATCTGACAAATAACCCTATCAACTCTGTTTTTGGACTTGGGCAAAGTCACTATCCCAAATGTCATTAAGCCATTTTTATGTTGCATGTGAACTCTCCTTTAATGATTGAATAATAATTAAATACAGAACCTAATCACATTATTATGATAACTTTACAGGCAGGAAAATGACAAAGTACTTGAAATCATAACAACACCAACAGATTATTGAATTTTTTGACCCTGACATCCTTCTGCCTTAAAATGAGAAGAAGAATGTCTTCAAATTGGAAAGTGTCAGAGGAGGAGGAACAAAACCAACTACTAAGTGCCTCCAATTCTCTTTTCAAAGAGAAGTTTATGCGCTTTAGGCCATTACCTGCAAACAATCCATAAAAAATAATACAAACAAAAAATCAAACGACAACAACAACAAAAAAATCCACCTTAATGAGCTGATTTAATTGGCTCTCCTGTTAGCAACTTGACAGCAATGCCCAAGGACTGAGCCGGTCACTGACACCAATTCTTTCACACCCTACAGCGGTCCCTCCAGGTCAGGATTGTTCTGTACAAGAACTCACAGTACAGATGCAAACTCAAAGCTGTTGTTTCCGTGCCCCAGTGAGGGTGAAGATATTAAACTCCCTGTGGATTGGGCAAGGAAAACAGGAAACAAGACGAATCAACCGGCTGAGGTCAACAAGAGAAACAAAAGCAAAGCAAAGAAGCTCCCTGTTCTTATTAACTACACCATGGGAAGTTTACCTATACAGATACCACCCGATGCATTTTGGATGCTGTTCTATCTTGTTACAAGATCATGAATGTGTTTGGATTTGGGGGTTGGTTATAGATGAATCACAGAATCTTTAAGGTTGGGAAGATCAGTAAGATCATCCAGGCCAACTATCAACCCATCATCACCATGCACACTAAATCACATCCCTCAGTGCCACATCTACCCTTTTACTGAACACCTCCAGGGATGGTGACTCCACCACTTCCCTGGGAAGCCTGCTCCAATACCTCACCACTCTTTCTGAGATTTTCTTCCTAATACCCAACCTAAAACTCCCCATACAAACACTGCAGCAGGGACACGGTCCTTCTTGATGCTCTCCACATCGACATAAGGATTCATGAAATACAAAGGAACAGCAGTCTATAACACTTCACTGACTGCAATTAGAGAAAGCTCCAAAAAAAAAAAAAAAAAGAAAAAAAGTTCAGGCACTCAACATTGAAAAAAGTTAGGCACAAGTTGTAGGAAAAGAAAATTACCCATTTCCCCTATTAACGTCAGACTCTGCGATTCCAGGGGTGGGAAGATCTGTGTCTAAGCTGACATATTGAGAAATTCATCCAAGCGTGAACTACTGAGGCAGGAAGTGAGAAATCGAGGCTCAAATTAAGGAAGGGGTGTTATTCTTGTTACACCAAGCCACCCTGTGCTAATCAATATTATTGACTGGGATGAACTCCACAGCAAGGAATAAAGCCATATGTCTCATCTATTTGGTCACATTAGGTAAGATTTGAGAAGAACAGAACACCAGCACTGACAGAAAAATTTGCTTTTTTACCTTCTCCGCTCTCAGCTTTCAGTTAATAATAATGAATGTTCCATATGCCACATGGAGAATAAATTCTGTTTGCAGTAAAATATTTTATATCCAACCACTGAGATGCAAATCTTATCCCCAATGATACCCTGTAAATACCAACAACACAGCACTGCAAGAGTTCTTGCTAACATCAGCAGCCTTACATCTCTCGATGCTGCTGCTGCAACCCTAAGGATCCTTCACTATACCTATGCAGCTCAACATGAGCACAGACCCATTGGTGAAGATCATGTCCCAGACCAACTCCTGAGCTGCAGACCTAAGACGTACTTTCATAGAAACACACTCTTAATATCTTTCCATCCTTACTGGTTTGCTCTATTTCTTGCATGGAGGTGAACTGCCATTCATCCAACCTGAGAAGAAATCAATGGCTCTGTACCAGTTGGCTGCAGAGAATCATAATCAGATAGCTTAGGTTGAAGGGGACCTTAAAGATCTTCTAGTTCCAGTCCCTCCACCATGGGAAGGGCTGCCGACCATCAGATCAGTCTGCTCAGCTGGCCTTGAATGGCTCCAAGAACGGGGCATCCACAGCTTCTCTGAGCAGCCTGTTCCAGTGAAAAACATGTAGGAAATAATGGAAATGGGGAAAAACACCCCTTCTTTGGTTCCTTACCAAGATGATTATCAGACAGGCAGTTTGCACGGTACATGGATCAAATATAAGCTAAGTAAGCAAACAGAGTATTGCTGGGCTGTCCCACATAAATGCCATATCCCCATGAGCAGACTACAAGGGAAGACAACTTTCCACTGCACGAAGGAAAAGGAGCTGTCAAGCCCACTTCCCAGTTAGCACTGAAGATTTTAAGCTGTAAGTGCCCAACTTTAAGTCATGACAGCTCAGTGTAAGCACTGACTACAGGACTAACCATCCATACTCGTGATGTACAACATCACAATGCACACAGCCCTCCAACAACCATTGGGACTGAGCATACATCACTGCTTCAGCAACACCACATTACACAACTCCTTCATTTGGACTGCAGGGTTTTTCTGTAGTTTGAGGCAAGAAATTGTAACAGCCGTGTGTCACAGGCACTAGAACAAAACCTAAATGTTTCACAGCTGTCACAAAGTACTACTGTTGTAGCCGTTCTTTGTTAAGAGCATCAGCTTGCTGATTTCATCTGCCTGGTAATAAATTACAAAAAAAAAAAAGGAAAAACTTGGAGGTGAAGCAAAATTTGTCATACAGTTAATGGCATCCTCATGCTGTGCTAGCAATGAAGTGTGCCCACCTGAATGTCACTGTGAGTGGGAGTCAGATTGGTCCATTAGGAACACAGTTGAACGCTTCTGAAGTGGAGCCAAAAGCTTCGTGCTTCAGCAGGAAAAAAAATGTAAGATTACCAAGAAAGCTAGAATCCCTGCATGCACATAAAGTCTGATCAAACACGAACATTGTGTCCAGTTCTCCATTCTGTTTGTATTTTACTGGGAGAAACACCGGCCATGGTACCTCTCAGGGACAATGCCACCTATGCACACTGGAGATCTCAAAGTGATGATGGCAAGTGTTCTCATCAGAGAGAAATGCAAGGATCCTTCTCAAGACTGACAGGAGAGACAACAACCAGCATTCTGTTCTATCCAGCAAAAAAGGGTGAAGAAGGAAGGCGTTTTTATTAATGAGCACCAAAGGAAGTCAATAAAATGCATTGCAAATTTGTGACAACACTGAGAAATCCACAGAATTTTCCAGGAAGATCATGCTTTGCTGATCCATTAAGTCAACACAAACACTGAAACCAGTCTTCAGCAGTAAGATTTATTCACTTATCTATCTATCTACTTATTTATTTTTAATTAACCAGTCTTTTGCCTGGTCAATTCCTTTTGCCATTAAGTTACTCAAAGGTGTCTACCACCGTTTGAAGTACGTGTGCACTTACCCAGTTCACTCTTTTCAGAAAACATACTGAAAACACATGGTAACAATGGAAAGGATTAGCAGGGTTCCTCAGAAAGCATCTCAGTTTGTGCTTTATAAATGCATTAAGCTTCTTTAATATTCCTGTATCTATTTTGTACACCGAAGCAGCAATGATGACATTAAGTTAGATGCAGCACATCACACAAATTATGTCTCCTCATTTAAAGAAAAAGCCCTGGAACACACTGCATGGAGTTTCCTTGCACTGACCCACAACCTTGCAATTGATGCAATTAACACAGTGATGGTTACCTCCTATAACCATGGACTGTCATATGATGGGAGAAGACTGAAGCAGGGAGAGGGATCAGAATTACACAGACATCCTGTAATTTCCACATCTGTCAGGTTAACTTCCCTATCATCAAATTAAAATAAAAATTAAAAGAAAGTATTACCAATTTATAAAACAATAACAGCAAACAATGAAAAAAACAAAAACAAAAGCAATGGAAAGCTCTGTTTGCCTCTCATAAGCATACTTTTAGAAGGTGAGATTTCATATATTTTCTATATTCTACATCACTGCAGAGCAGCATAACACCTTATCAAACTGTTTTGGAGGTGTCTTAAAGCACTTCACCCTCAGCCTCAATACAAAGAATCATAGAATCATAGAACCACAGAATGACCTGAGTTGAAAAGGACCACAATGATCATCTGGTTTCAACCCCCTGCTGTGTGCAGGGTCACCAACCACCAGACCAGGCTGTTCAGAGCCACATGCAGCCTGGCCTTGAATGCCTCCAGGGATGGGGCATCCACAACCCCCTTGGG